AGCGGGCAACCTTGGGGATTCATTCGGAGGTGGGAGCTCCCCCCCCCCGGGTATTGGCTAATCATAGGAACTACAACTCTGATTAACACAATAAATCAAAGGACACTCCATTCAGGCTACCAAAAATGCGCACACGAGGAGTACAGTCTAACAGCCATTGGAAAAGTGAAGCAACCACATGCAAAGGCAGAGAATTGAGAAAAAATAATGAAAAAAGTGGAGCAAACTCCATGTTATCTCTCTACAATTAGGCCTTTTCTGAAGCTCTTGTTGGTTATTTGTTGCGATAAATAGTCCACAGTTCAAACATAAATCTTATATCTATCTAAATACTCATTGCAAAAAAAAAAAACAAGATACCAATCCCAAGACGAAAGTTCAAGACGTTAATAAAAGTACTTTTATCAGAAGAGCTACAATACACATAATTACTGAAAAAGAGAAAGGTAAGAAAACTTGGAATGTGGACAAATACAGATGCCACTTGAAAGAAAAATTTTCTGTCTTATTGTGGATTCATAAAATCACAACATCAGATCACGCTGACAGGAGGTAATATAAAGAGTTACCTGAGTAGATCATTAGCTTTTCCACAGGATACACAATAAAAGGTTCCATTATTGCCCCCATCTAATTTATCAGTTGCAATACCAGATTTTCCATGCTTAATGGCACACTCAAGGTGGCATGACATCCCACATGAATCCCCTTGAAAAGGAGGCTCTGAGCTGCAAATCAACCATAGACTAGGGTCCTTGTTGTCATCATAGTTACGGCAAATACAACATGAACACCTTTTGCAAAATGCATCTTCACAACTTAATTTAGCTCTGCAAGCCAAATTTTTGCAGTACACAACATTGTCTAAACTAACATTAACATTTGTTGTTGAAGAATTATTAGCCTCAATAGGAAAACGACTTGGATGCTCAGCTTTCCTCTGCCTCTTGGAACTCCTCTGTCCATTCTCTGATGAAGGCTGCATTTCAAGATTAGATGTACTTCCATGCTCCAATGAATTCTTCTCAGATACAATTTTCAGAAGGTTTTCTATTATTTTTAATTTTGTCAGTCCAGTATACTTCCTTTCTTTTCCCATCTCTGCACATAATATCTGCAAAATCTCCTGACGGCTCCAAGATTGCAGCATTTCAGGGGCACCATGTGACCGCTTTGATAATTCATAAACTAATTCCCTCTTTTCCTCCATACTCAATTTACTGCACTTAGATGGATCAAATGCAAAACCTAGAACAAGAAAGCAGGAAAAGTAACTTCAAACAAACAAGTTTGTAAATTCCTATCCAATAAAAACCAATAAGGTTAGCAAAGTACATTTGACAAACTGAGATGTTGCTGTTCTTCTCTTTCTTTTAATTCTTAAAATTTTAAATTATTTGTGTAGCTTCAGTTCATTTTTGAAGGGTTTTCAAGCTAATCTTGTTCAATTTTTTATATTAAAAGGTTATTAAGTTCAATTTTCTTACTGCTTGTGGCTTCCCTCAGTAATGGAATATATTTCAACTGCAACCAGATTACCAAAAAACACGAAGAAAAGCCATCATTTGCAATCAAATGGCAAATGCAAGTAATAGGACAAACAGAGAGGGAGATCACTCAATCGATCAACTATGCCACTAATCCAAAACTAGTAAAGTCGGCTATAATCCTCATATTCAATCTGCTCTATTTGGGTACAAATTCCACAACTAAATATTTTATCTTATAAAGAAAATTTGGTGATCTTTAAGATTAGAGATTCTCTAAATCTTTCACTTATCGTGAAACTGATACATAAAAGTCTCCAACTTATAGTCATAATGTAAATATAACTACAATAAACACTAATCCAAACTAGTTGGTATCACCTATATGAGTCATTTGCTTCTATGTGTATTCTGTTCCTAGTTAAATCCCTGTTTGATTCTAAAAAATTGTAGGTTTTCTGTTCTTTTCTAAGCTGAGCCCTTATTAATTTCAAGGGATTGTAGGTCTCTTGAAACAACATACCCTCATGTGATACTTTATATTAAAGAGTGTACTTTATACTCTTTTAAGTGTTAACACTTTCAGTTATCATAGTACTGCATCAATGGAGTTAATGCATTTGGCGATCTATAGGACATGATCAAACCATGTCAGATAACCTCTCATTTTATCCTCTATGAGTGATACTTGTACCTTTGTCACTGTGATATTTCTAATTTTGTTGGATCGGTGCATTTTGAGTTCTAAGCAGACATGATACAAACCACCTCAAACAACCTCCTATTTTATCATCTATCTGTGCTACTTGCACCCTCTATTACACGTGATCACTTCTAATATCATCTAATATGATATCTATATGACCAAACATCAATCTTATATCTTACATTTCTATGATGCTCTTTTTGTGGATATGTTGGGGCCTTAAAGGCACAACTTTGATTCCTATATAACAGTCTATAGAACTTGTCGTTCAATTTGTTAGATATCTTCCTATTCACATAGCACTCTCGTACCATTTCTCCAATTCAACCACCCTGCTTTAGTTTAATATGTGACATATTCATTTATCATTCCATTCTCTTGCAGACTATCCTTGGTAGGAAGGTCTGGAGGTCAAGCATTAGGGTTGTAGGTTAGGGGGTAGTACAGCTTTCCTTACTTCATACCGGGGGTGAGGCGGGGTTGGATTAGGGTTTGATCTTAGATGGCTTGCAGTTTATGTTGAATCCACACTATCCTTGTTATTTATCTTAGCCCCGGGCCATAGATTCTGGTTACTGTTATTGCATGTCATTCATCTTTTGGTTGTTATGCTTCTGTTACTATTACGGTTTCTACTGGAGTTACTAATGAATTGTCTTTTCTTGTTTTTTATTTCCGTCTTTCTGAGCCGAGGGTCTATCGGTAACAACTTCTCTGCCCTATCGAGGTAGGGGTAAGGTCTGGGTACACATTACCCTCCCAGACCCCACTTTGTGGGATTTTACTGGGTAGTTGTTGTTTCTCTTGCAGACTAAACCTAGATATTTGAGTTGTCTGCATTTAAAGGTCAAAGTCTAGTCTAATCCCATCTCAACATCACTATTATACTTACTAGTGCATATATTTTGTTTTACTTCTGCTTATCTAAAACTCTTCCTTTTTGAGTAATTATCGAAAATTCCAACTTTTGACTGAATCACTTGCCAATTTACTTGATAAACACAACATTACTGGCAAATGTATGCACATAGAACAACATCTTGTATACACAAGGTTAACTAATCTATAAATAAGCTAAAATACTATAGACTCAGAGGGTGTTTGGATTGGCATATAAAAAGTAGCTTTTAAGCTAAAAGCCAAAAGCTATAAGTTGGTAATACCCAACTTTTGGCTTTTGGCTTATTTTTGTACTTTTTATGCCTAAAAGTATGTGCTTTTAAGCAATTTTTATCATTGCCAAACACCACACAAATTAAAAAAGTGCTTAAAAGCCAATAAGCACTTAAAATAAGTCAATCCAAACACCCTCTCAAAGCAGATCTCTAGTGTAAGGTTGTCGTTTCTTTTTTTGGAAAGAGTAAAAGAGCATAGATATGTAGACATTACAACGATGACAAAGAACGATTTTATTTTATGCTTGGTAGATATAATGTTGAGGGTATTTCTTTTCTTTTGCTACAAATTTTCATTGTCTTTTGACGTTTGCGGCTTTGCGCAGAAAATCACTAATTTCATACACAGAGACAGGAACAATAAGTTTTTTGTTTCGGTAAAAAAATTCATTGGATGCTGATATGCTCAACAGTTAACATCTCAAAAATCTTAGCTGAATCAGAATCTCCCATTCAAACATAAAAATTAAATTAAAATAGCACATCCCATTATGAATTTTGTTAATGACACTTTCACATCTCCTTGGCCTCCTCTCCTTCAATCTCCTCTCTCTATATGCAAACCTCTCGTCCCCATATCCGGAGTTTTATCCAAGCAATAAATCCCTTCGGCGCACTCAATAACCTTGGAACGTAAACATACTCACAAACGAACCCCCTTCCTTTTAGCATTCTGCTTGTTAATAGATTTTACACGTGCCAGCTAAGCTCACAATCTATCAATCACCTATTCCTACAATATCCAGTGGTTGCTGATATCTGGCATATGTTCTTCTCAGTTTTTAGCATCAGTTGGACATTACCTCAGAGCATCAAGGAAACAGTTGAAGGTTAGAACATTTGGAAAGTCAATAAGGCCATCAAGAAAATTTGGCAGATGATCCCAACATGCAATTATTTGGTGTATTTGGTCAAAAAGGAAACAAAGATATTTTGATGGCATTTCAACTCCAAACGACACCTTGAAAGCTAGATGTCTACTGAATCTTTTTTAGTTGGAGTAATTTTACTCCTGTAAATAATGTTGTCCTTTTTCTTGACTTTATTACCTCTCTTACCCTGACTTGACAACCTACTTTTTCGGTGCTCTATATTTTTGGTTAGCTCCCTGATCTTAGTTTAGAACATGTTGTAATGGAGTTATATACTTTTGTACTTATTGCATCTTCTTGATGCCAGCAATATAGCATCTTACTTCATCAAAAATAAAAGGACACCCTTCCTTTTTCTTTTCATTGAAATTTTTATGTTCTCTCAGATTTTTACCTCACCTACCATGGCTACTTTTATATTCACTAGAATTCTTGGAGTGGGAGTAGCCATGGCTATTATATGCCCTAGGCATGTAGTCATGCGCGCTTTTCGGGCTTGGAACTGCCCGCACGCATGAAATCCCAGCATTCTGATTTTGGGCGCATGCTTTGCTCTGCCCCTGCACATGGTTTCTCTAACAGGATAGCCTTTAGTAAAATGCTCCTAATTTTTTGTCAGAATGTCCAAATGATGAAAGGTTTGAAGCGTTGGAAATTAGACTTTAAGGGGCTTTAATTGGCCATCTAATTCATTACTAAATTCATTATAAATTGGGAATTGTGATCATTTGACGTCAGGGCATATGTGACTATGGTAGTCTTCTTCCTTTATACAATTGCAACTTGTTCGAACTACCTTTTCCTTCTTCTAAACATCCACACTACCTCTTGTACATAATATTTAGGTAAAGTTTCAGAAAGATAAAGGTAGAGAATGTAGCTATTTCTCCTTCGACTTGACATTGTCATAGCTCTCCATTTCCTTGAATATTTCCAAACTGACCATATAATATGGTCGTGTCATTGTAAAATAGGAATCATGTCCATATTCCTCGGTTCGCATTGGTAAACCCTTTTCAAATTGTAAAATGTGACCACAACACTGTAGGCAAAGAAAATGGCATAGTTATCACATTGCTGATATGTTCCAAATATAATAATTATACTCACCCCAGAAGAGTAGGTATGTAGGTAACTAACCACCAATTCTACCACCCATTTCAGTAAACCAAAAAATTAAAAAAAATTATAGAAGTAATTATTTTATACATATAAAACAGTAATTAAATTTCATACTATAGTATGCAAGAGATAAAATAAAATTAACAGTATGTATAAAGAAAAGAAAGAATGGATAAAATTAACACCATTCAATATATCAGTAAAACATTAGCAGGATTATAAACTAACAGATCAGAAATTTCACAGCTACTTCCTCTGTCCCAATTCGTTTGAGTGATATTCTTGTGAAATTCTTACTTTACTAGCCATTGTTTTTGGCAGAATAAAACTAAAAAGAAAAGAAAATTACCCTCAAAGGAAGAATTGTCCATGGCAGCTGGTAAAAAAACAACCACCCTTTGTAGCCTTAGCACCTGAGACCCACAAAAGGGATGGGATTTTCAATCAGATTATAACTTTGACCCAAAAAGAGAGATATGTATCGCTCGCTCACCAGTTTCATGTGGTGTGAAAGATCACACAATCACCCACGTTAAAGAAAGAGATTGGGAGAATAGAATAGAAATAGTAGAAAAAAAGGGGTCACAAGCGAGGAATCCATGAAGAGAAAGGGATCTTTCAACGTGGGCTTTTCGGTACCCGAAGCAGTAGTTGATAAAGAGAGGGTGGTGGGGTACTTATGTGGGTCCAACGGGTCCAGATTCGGAGGACGAAATTAAATATATTTACGATAATGGGCTAGTAATTAGTTTACGTAAGGAAAGTTAAAATTGCATGGTCGTCCTATTTGGTCGTCCCTATAATTATTTAATTTATATATACTTTTTATTTTTTTAACTTGTACCCGGTATTTAAATAACTTTAGGCATTTTTCTCCTCTTTATTCTTCTTCTTCTTTTTCAGGTAACAGTAATTTTATATGGTATTTGTGAATATATTTTAAGGTAGTTTATGATATTTTACAGTGCTAAACTGTTGTGGCCCTTTATTTTTTACTATTTCTTATGATTTCTTCATTTTCTTAATTGCAAAAGGGGTTCGTTAGATTTATTGTTGTTGTGACAAATTGATGATTGGGGTTTGTTCTTGATGATATTTGAAAGTTATGTTTCAAATTTGAGCTCATTTGAAGTAGATTTAGGTATTAAATTGTATATTGGATTGTTAAAATTCGAAGAATAAATTTCTATTTCTGGGCAATTTGCACTTCAAACTTATTTAGCCTTAAGTGCATGAAAACATTGGTTGTATTTCAGACTTTTTGGCCTTTTAGTTCGTAGAGACTACCATTGGGATCATGACTTTCCTATCATTATTCTCAATTCTAATCAAAGAATTACCTCCTACTTAACCGGATTTTCATTTGTCTATAAGTACCCTTTCACTTTGGGATTCAAACCTGCTATTGATCCTATTATTCTCGAGTTCTGCCATTTATTGCAATTTTTCGCTTAGACTTATTGGTCTTAAGTGTAGGAAAACGTTTGTTGCACTTCAGACCTTTTGGCCTTAAGTGTAATTTTTTACTTTAAACTTATTGGCCTTAAGTGCATGAAATCGTTGGTTGTACTTCAGACCTAATTGACCTTAAGTGTATCTGAAGTACATTTTTTTTACTTCAGACTAACTTTTTTTTTAACTTTAGATCCGAGAAGTCTGAAGTTGATCGTAAAATGAATAGATTTGCAAAAATTTTGTAAAATGGGTATATGTTCAATTGTGATCCCAAAACTGGGTGTAAATACAAAAGCCCCGTAAAAAGGGGAAAACCAAAAGATTTAATCTGGGATATAATGGTTACTAATTTGAACATGCGAATATGAATTATCAAAGTTTGATTAGACACATGTAACTTATTTTACTTGTTTTTTAATCATATAAGATACAAACATGTTATGAAACATATCTTACTTAATATTTCCTTATAGCTAGACATGTTCTTAGTGTGATCACACGTAATTAGAATGCACATAAATTTGGATTTTGCAAGTTTACAAAGAGAAGGAAACTAAAGAATAAATAGCGCGCACATACACGCACACACAAAAAGACCACTTTTGTAATAGTTTTCTTCTGAATTAATCTCCAAACATTAAAGAGAAATTTTCATAAAGTATTATCTTTTAAAAGTAATTAACCATCTATATATACCATTTGCTATATTACGGATTATAGATACCTTTTATGTGGTTATAAGATGTATTTGATGTATTTAAGCTATTGTATTTATGAATACAATAGCAAAAATAGACGTGAATCAGGGAAGTCCAGCTAATCAGTTGTTGTATTCGAGTGTATTCAATTGTATTCATGGAGTAAAACATGGGATTACAGCTGGATAGATTATTGTATTCGACTATATTCGACTGTATTCACGGCGTGAAATAGGAGATTACACTATTTTTAAAACGGAAAGTGAATCAATTAACATAATAAACTCCTAATATAATGAACAAACTCAATTGTAATACACAAATTTTGTATTTTCAGTTATAGAAACGGTTCTCAACCGAAAAATACCCCAAAAATATAGTAATCTTCAGAGAAATTATATAATATATCTGAATACATAAATTATAGTATTAATTAAAAAAAACTTATGAATACATTCATGACATCTAGCGAGACAGTGAATACAATGAAATACATAGAATACAATGGGATACATTAAAATACAATAAGAAAAAAAGACAGTGAATACAATGAAATACATGGAATACATCGAGATACATTGAATTACAATGAAAAAAAAAGACAATGAATACAATGAAATACATGGAATACATCGAGATACATTGAATTACAATGAAAAAAAAAGACAATGAATACAATGAAATACATGAAAATACATTAAAATATATTAACAGAAAATCAAGTTGCTCAGCCCCAAACTCTATCGTCTTGGTTCAAGAACAAACCCTAATTCCCAGCGAATCCGCCATTCACCGAAAGCCGGTAGTGAGAAACCAACCGGATTAAAAGAGCTAATGATTTTGAAAGAATCAAAATAGGACCATCGGGATTTTGAAAGAATTAATATGTCCGCAGGTGCATTCTTAAACAACTCCTTAGGCATCAAAACCTTATTGATAGTAAAAATAGCCAGCGGTTGTTCATCAATTAGAGTTCCGGCTGAAATTCCATCAATTGAGATACATATGTCGGCGGCTGGCTGCTATTGGTTACACATCTGCATAAATCTAATACACTGATTGACTGATTGTTTGCTGTGGTGACCAGGAAAGCATCAGCCATAGATTATACAGTACATAGGACATGGACCGCATTGAAAACAGGAAGTAGGTTTCTCCTTTGACGTTATTTTTATTTCTTGCCATTGGGGTAAAACCTCGGCGGCTGCTGCTATTGGTTACAAACCAATCGGATTAAATATTCCATAGATTTTAAACCGGCTGAAGCAGAGAGTGAACCTGCTCTGAAGTGGGATTTGCACAAATTCGATGGAAGGAGGATGAGATCAGAAATTTTAATGGGATGGGAAAGAGAATGAGATTTATCAAAGTAGAGAGAGAAAAAAAAAGTGTAACTGATTAGCGTATTTAGTGGCTTAGGCTAGGAGGTAACCAAAATTAAATATTTTGTTATAAACCTTAAAAGGTATCTATAGAATATAATTTTTTTAAATGGTATTTATTTAAAATAAATAAGGTGTTTACCTTTGCTATAGGAGGTAAAAATTCTAAAATTAAACAAGCTCTAGCAACATGAAAGGCCAAAGTTAGAGAGGAATTATCACTTTATGCTCATTAACCTCAAAGTTTTTACCCTTTTATACTCAACCCCAAAGAATTTACTTTACCTGCCTATGCGGTACAGACTATTTATCCGGCCTACCCAATTTTCTTTTCCTTTTTAATTTTTCTAAACAAGCATAGTCCCACACTCAAATGTTCTCTTCCTCTTTGAAAAACACTCATAGTTTAGTCTTTTTAGTGGATGATGAAAATCCAGTACAAACCCATGTATTTTTCCAATTTTTTTTAGAATTTTCTATATAAATTTTAAAAGACAAGTTTTCATATTATTTTACATGAGTTTCACTCAAAAACCATTTTTCTATATTAGTATATCTTAAATTTCTCTTTTCATATCAGTACTATATTTTTCGAACGCTTTCTTTTTTGTGAATTTATTTATATTTCTGAACCCATGTATTGTTATGGTTATATATTAAGCTCCAGAATCAAATTTTTTGTGTGTATTTGAAGACCCACCATTGTTGAGTTTGAAGCTCCTAAATTTAAAATTTTATTTTGAAGATTTGATGTTTAATTCGAAGTGAGTGCTGTAAAATATTACTTATAATACCTTCAGGAAGTTCATAATAAAATTTGGTCGCATTTGGAGCTAGATTGAGGTACTTCAGAACGAATTTTTCAGCTTAAATTTGAAGAAGAATATAGTTACCCAATAGTATACTATTACAGTATACAATATACTATAAGAGTATACAGTTATACTGCAACAGTATATCGTACTAATATATAATATACTGTACTGGTATACCATAATAATATGCAATATACTGTAAAAATATACTGGAATATTATACAATATACTACAATAGTATACTTCGGCTGCTATTTATTAAATCACCTGGATACTATTGTGGAAAGCTAAAATCACAGTGATAGTACGTATTTTATTGCTGATAATTAAAAAAAATTAAAATTGTCCACCAATGAAGAAGCTTTGATTTGAGAATTAAAAGCTTAATATAATTATTTGGATTTTGAATTTGGATGAGTATTATTTAAGCTTGTTAAAAATGCTTGTAAGGATTAATATTGAAGTTTAAGTTCATTTGGAATTGTTTTGAAGTGGCTTGGTGGTTCCACAAAATTTAAAAAATTAATAACCTTGATCAAATAGATAATTGTCGAGCCTCTCAACAATTAGGTTGCGATTTCGAAGAGTCATTGGCCATGTAAAGCTTGATTCGTCTTTTTGATAGTAATGCTGAACATTCTTTTTGCAAAGAAGTGTTTAAGTTAAGTGGAATTGGGGATGAGTAAGGTTCGTTAAATGGTTTGAAATAGGTAGAAGCGGGTAAATATTTTAGGTTGTGAGGGTAAATTTATCCCTTTATGTATGTTCTTTTTCGAGTTTCAATTTGAAATTCCAACCAAAACCTACTCGAATATTCACCAAATTCTCTCAAAATTGAGTTATAAACTCCAAAGGATATTTTCAAGCATTGGCAACAACACTCAATCCAAACAAATAATAATTTCGCAAAATTTGATTTTCAAATTCAAAGCTTCGAATTTTTTAGTGGCTGTCAGTGAAATTTTTAATGAGTTAACAGGGTTTCTAATTCAATTTGATCGCTTTTGCTTTGGAAGTTAAAGGAAAGTTTTTGGCAGTAGAACTAGCGTCCTGCAGAAAATCCGAGACCAGATTTTTCCTATGAGAAGCACAACCTCTTCGTTTCCTGTACAGCTAGTCTCTTCGCAATCTAATGTTCCTTCTATACATGGCTCCCAGAACCCCTCTATCCTTTACAACATTGTTTTGAGGTCCATAAGGAGGCTGAATAAGGAGACTGGTACTGGTTTGCGAGTTTGATACAATATATATTAAGATTCTAGTGGGGAAGAAAGCAGAT